CGTGTGATATTTAAGAAAGACTCACCGCTTATCAGGATTTCACCATCTTTATTCTTTCCCAGCGCCAGGGCGTAAACATACCCATTGTGACTATCCAGATAGATCATGCTCTCATCGATCAAATACCGTTTCATGTCATCACACTCCTCCGTGAACGTTGAACTTTCCGTATCCGCGATTACGGAAGCATCACCCGGTTTTGCGTCAAAGAATTTCGAGTTTTTACAGGCATTTAATGGTTGCGTCGTCCTATATTTATCTTTCACGGATAGATCAAAACTCTTTTTTTTTTTTTTTAAGAGTAAGGCGATGTCACCTACAGTTATACGGGATGATGATGATCGCGGAGAAAGACGAGTCACCCGTTTCGTGAGAATTTGCTTACCTGGATGCTGGTATTTTGACATCCGATGTATAAAGTTTCTAGAGAATCCGAATACACCACGGAAAATAGATCGCCAATATCATGGGAAGATTGAATCAAATACAGGCATTTCAGCTTCTTTGTGTCCCAAACCTGTGGCAGAATATTGGGGATCTTGAATGAATTTGAGTTCAACAAAAATCTCAAGAACACTCGTCAAGAACAACCGCTCATACCCGAACTGTTCCGTCACCTGCCAGGATGCGAATTTTCTGGTTAATTAAATTATACTGTCAAAAGGTGATACGAAGAGGGCTAGCTATTGTGAGCTCACCGGACGAACTAAATAGCATCGTCTGATCTTCCGACAAAGTTAAGCTCAGCACGCTACCGATGTGCCCTTTCAACGTGACTTTTTTCGTAAAGGTTTTCAGGTCCCATACCTTTGCGAAGTCACATGGATCAATGTGACGAAATGTCGAAAGGATGCAGCGGCAAAAAAAAAAAAAAAAAAAAGAAAAAAAAACGTAATTATTTGGAAAAATGAACAACATTTCCATCATTATCAAGTGGGGTACCTGAATGTGAGGATTTTGTGAACCACTAAATATATAATGTTTACTGCATGCCAAAGAGAGAACTGATTCTTCGCCCTGGGTAATTATGTGACTTGGCTTTGATAGTAATTCTTCGCTTCTAAATGATATTCGATTTAGACTACCTATTGTATTTGTTCACGGATACATTGTAACCACGTCATCAAAAAAGGGTATTATTATGTAATAATAGGTGAACTGGATTACTCACGAAGAGGGGTCGGGCTAGCACGTCGTCTAACATCGTTGTCAATACCATTAGAGAAATAATCATCATTCGAATTTTGATTTTCCGCAGCAGTCACCAATAAACTCCTGCCGTTATTACTAAGTGGTTGGGGCTGAAATGGATGATTGGCGTCGGAAAATGTATTGATTCTATACATTGTTCATACAATGTGGTGTTCTGTGGTATTTGCGGATTCTGTGCACATGCGAAAGTAAACGAAAAGAATTGACGGTTCTTATAAGATAATTGTCGTGGTACACAGTAACCTTTGACATTGATAGGGAGTTATATGAAATCCCTGTATAGTCAAGTTGACAAGACACCATTTTAAACAAGACATGTCTTATCTGGATTTGGATATTCCAACGCATGTTGCTCATTTCTTTTATTTTTATGATAATGGAGGGCCGGTTTTCAGTAATAAACGATCGACCGCCACCAGTAGCGTTCACACATATCCCACGGTATTATTATTCACACCATTTATTCACATATTTACATACGCACACGTTATGACCCTTCGAATCACTCTCCGATCGATGATGAAAATTGTTTTTCCGCCGGATATTTTTTATTTTGCTTAACGGCGATTTTTCATGTGAATTCGGGTTAATTTACTTAAAGTTGCACGCGCGCGCGATGCGTATTATTTATTTGTTCCCGAGGACGGTTTCGACGTGTGTGATCGATTCAACCCCGGTATTACTTTTACCATGAAAAAACTTTTTTTTTTTATTTTTATTTCTATTTTTATTTACTGTATATACTGTATATGCGGGGCGAAAAAAAAAAAAAAAAAAAAGATATCGATTGATCTAAAAAAAATCTAAAAACGAATTAGATTTGTAATCCGAAATTAGTTGCAAACCAATCATAATTTGTGATTTCGACTATCATAAAAAAAGTATAGATACCATACATCGAAGATTGAAGCGACGCTAAAATCCGAAATTCGTTGATTACGTAAGTTCATTTAATTATTTATTTATTTATTCTTTCGAAAAAAAAGAGAAGTGAACACTGGGATTCGATCCAGAGGAATCGAGAGACTTCAATTGTCCAGTGATAGAATTGGGGCAATTTTACACGTTTGATCTTGGTGATCTGGCAAAAGCAATCGTCTTCATCTCGTAATTGGTGTTTTCTTGAGGAAAATTTGGATATTTTCGTTTAAAAAGGCATCCTTCTAAATATCAAAGACTCACGCCCCAAAATTATTTCAGCTCAAACATGAAACATCAGCCGAACGGCGAACTATGCACCGAAGCATTTGAACTTGAGGTGCTGGTGTCAAAGATGAAGGATCTTATGGTGGAATGTAATTATCCAGAAATAATAATTTATTCTAAATCGTCGGTTTATGTGAATTGTTTCTCGACAGATTTTTGACCGTGTGCGTCCATTCACAGATGTGGACGAAGGTAGAAAACCTGGCGCACCGGTGGTCAAATGCAAATCGCCCGAGGAGTTGAAACGATTAATTAACTTGGATTTGGATTATGGCGGCACTGGCATTGAAGGTACTTGCTTGTTCCAATAATTTTTTACCTTCTCGGTGGGTGATGTGACGTAATGTGATGTGATGCTATGCGTGGTGGTGACGTATATTATGAATGAATGCATCCGTAATTTACATGTGTCCACAACAGGTCTAATCCCGCTGATACGAAATGTTTTGAGTTACAGCGTAAACACCTGGAACCCTGGATTCATGGACAAACTATACGCCGGCACGAACCCCGTGGGCGTGATATCAGAGATGCTGGTAACATTATTGAATGCAAACTCTCACGTGTATCACGTATCGCCGGCACTCACGTTGATCGAGAATGCAGTTTCCAAGAGTTTGGCCAAATTATTTGGAATGGGAGAGGTGAGTTCATCAGGTTGACCGGTGAGATTTTCAAACTGACTCTCAGTTGCCCTCCACATTTCCACGTGCTCATATCATTCAAATCCGCTCATTCGCCCCCTCCCAATGCTACCAGAAATCGGGGGGAATAACGTGTCCCGGCGGTGCATTCTCCAACCAACTGGCAATGATAACCGCACGAAATCATATGTTCCCCGAGATCAAGACCCGTGGATATTTCAGTTTTAATAAGAAACTGGTGATCTTTACCTCGAACGCCGGACACTATAGCGTGAAGAAGACGGCAATCACCTTGGGACTGGGCACTGATTGTGTGGTCGAGGTTCCTTGTGATCAGAAGGGAAGGATGAGAGTGGATATGTTGGGTGAGATTTAACGTTCAAGCCAAATCTCTAGAAACATTGGATCCTCGATATTGATGAGATTCATTTGAAACTTCTAGAACAGCTGATCAAACTTTCATTGCAAAGGGGTGAAGTTCCATTCTTCATTAATGCCACTGCCGGCACTACCATACTGGTAAATCGAATGCAATTTTTTAACCGTCGTTTTTCGCGATCCAGTTGCTCATTTATTTATCACTTGGCTACTTTTTTTTTTTATTTTTTTATGATAAACACCTTAGGGGGCATTTGATCCGCTGAGGGAGATAGGGAAAATTGCAAAACAATACAACATCTGGTTTCATGTGGATGGGTCGTGGGGTGGGAGCTTGGTATTCTCGGAAAAATACAAATCTCGGATTGATGGATCAGATTTGGTTAGTCCATGAATTGTAACACGTAAACGAACTTTCTCCTACCCACTACAAATTAAATCTAACAACCTTTCTATATGAAAGGCTGACTCCTTGGTAATAAATCCTCACAAAATGCTAGGCACGCCATTACAATGTTCATTTCTACTCGCTCAAAACTCACAAATATTTGCCCATGCAAATTCGCTGGGAGCCGAATACCTTTTTCATCAAGACGGATCGGATTCTTGGAACAGCCAATACGATCTGGGCGACAGTACGGTAGGATGTGGTCGTAAACCTGACGCCGTGAAATTATTTATAGGATGGAAAATATTTGGTATCGAAGGCTATCGCTTAAAAATTGAACATTCGTTCAAGATGAGTGAATACTTGCTGAGGAGGTTGAAAGTCAGCAAGCGATTTCGATTAGTACTTGAGGAGCCAGAAAATTTACAAATTTGCTTTTGGTATATACCGGAAGGAATTGAGGAGTGTTGGTTTGTCATTAGGGAGGATGAGGAATGTCTAGATTGTAATGGGGGCGACAGAGCGTCGTTTGGAGCAAGGAATGGAAATGTTATATCGTCAGGAATGGTGAACGGCGGTGGATACGGGCAGAAAGAAAATGATGCATCGTCAGGAATGAATGGCAATGGATATGAACTGAAAGTAAATGGTGAGAATGGGAATCACGTAGATCAGAGTTCACGAAGGTATGGCTACCTTCAAAAATATATCATTTTTAAACACAAGTTATCTAACATAACCAAAGAGATACACCATAGAATTAGAAAGAATGGGAAATATATGTTTGATTATTCACCGGTAACTCTGAGGAACTTGGAGTTGCCGTTGTTCTTTAGGGTGGTGGTCAATTCACCGGCAATCAATGAAAAATTCTTAGATGGCCTGGTAGAGGAAATTGAGCGGATAGGTGAAGAAGTGACGATGTGGTTTGCGGAGAATGAGCGAAAACGCGAATGGGGAGAGGACGAGGATCCCGAGAACGTTAGTGAAATCGAATCGATGGACAGTCGGTCAATAAATAATTCGTTGATTCTATAAATCTCAAGATTGTTAAAGGGAATTTTTATTATCAATTAATGTATCAAATTTACAAATCATGTTTTACAAATAAAAAATTTATCTAAAAGTTTGCAAATTCCTTCATTCGGTTGATATTTGTCGCCTTGCCATTGTGCTAAAATGATTCTCTAGAATGATGCAAACTTTTTATATTCTTTATCTAACATAGGAATGACGAAAGAAATGTATATTATTCTCGGTGCCGGAACTCTATTACCATTACAGCATGACATAAGGATTTAATTGATTAAAGTAAAATCAACCACAGGTGGATTTGTCCCCAAATAAATATCTCACAACTTTAGCGAATCC